AAAAGCCTACAAAAAAGGCCCAAAAAAATTTAAAAATTGTACATGAAATAGATCCAAATTTCACAATAATCTGATTTTATAATTAGCCATGACAAATATTAAAACTATATTGTATTAGACTTTCTAATTATTTTGAAATTGCAAAGCAAAGTCTATAATAAAACTTTGAATAAAAAATCAGTCTACTATAGTTTTTTTGGTTAAGAATTTACTGTTTCAATAATATCAACCTTTATATTAGAATTATCAACAAGGTGTGAATTCATTGAACCTATGAGTTTAACTTTAATATTTGTAATATCTTGTATCTTGAGATATTCTATATCTGAGTTTTTGTATGCTTTCTTAGCCTTATTTTAAACAATATTCATGATTGCTAGAATGATAACTTTTGACTACTTCTTCACTTATTAATTTTTTAATAAATTTTAAGCATTTTCACATATCAATTTTATTAATATTGTGACAATAGTCTGAAGTACCATTTACTCATTCAAAATAAACAAGTTTTGTAAAAGAAAATTAGATTATTTTTACTCCAGTTTTATATTTAACAGAAGTTGCTTCCAAGTTACATGAAACTTTTTAGGAAGAACATCTTCTTTTCTTTATTTGATTTCTCTGATTTTGAGAGCTAGCATATATAAACTTTCTATTCATCACTATTTTTTGTTTATAGCTATTGAACTTTATCCAAAAGTTGTCTACAAGGGTCTATTGCTTTTTAAACTCTTTAATGAAAAACTCAAATGAATTATTAATATTAAAATAAGAGATTTATTTTATAGTGCTATGGTGCTATGATGCTAGAGTATTGTAACCAATTAAAATTTAAGATCAGGTGTAACATGCAGATCACCCTTTGTATAACAAAAATAATAAACTTTTAAAAATTTAGTTTATTTTAAAATTTTAATTAAAAAACCAATATTTGTATTCTAATAAAAAAAATTCTTGCAAAATTTTAATTTAAACCATACCTTGCCTAACCTTAGCTTTAGCTTTAATCTAAACCTAATTAAAAAGCTTTATTTTTTGTAAAGACTAGATTGTTTTGATTTATATATTACACCAATCTTGTGTTTATATATAGAGTAACACTATAGTGCTATAGTTCTACACTAATATTCTCTTAAAATAATGTTCATATAAACCTGATATTATTAAGTATTTTATTCATGATTATTGTTATAAATTCAAGGTTTTTAATTAGGGTGTATGAAATATGAAAGACTTGAAGGTTGTTTCTTAATTGTATTTTTTAAAAAAAATTATACAAAAAAATTTTTTTGCAAAAAATTTTTTATACAAAGAAAAAGGCATCATGTTTAGATTTGAAAAAATTTAACCAATCTTAAAACACATCTAAAACAAAGTAATATTTGAAAGAAAACTAACCATGAAGTATTGAAGTTATATATAAGATGCTGAAAGTAGATATAAAAAGCTGAAAAATATATTTAAAAAAAAAACTTTAAGCTCAAAAAAATCTTTCAAGTGCAAAAAAAAAAAAGAAAAAAAAACCAAGCGCAAAAAAAAAACTTAAGTGCAAAAAAAAAGCTCTAAGCATTCTAAGCAAATACAACTCTAATAAATCTCTCTAAGTGCTCTAAGCACACAGCCTTCAAATACAACTCTAATAAATCTCTCTAA